TAGGCGGCGGCCATATTGGATTTCATACATCTCAGTAAAACAACATTTTGAACATATTTACATAGTAAATTTATTTTGTTTTGTGTTGTTTTTGTTGTCTCTTCCTCAAAATAAAGGACGAGGAATCTGATGGGAATAAATTCACTCATCTAATTTGCATATCATGACATCACTTATCCATACCTACGGCTACAGAAAGCATTCAAACTTCAAAACGTTCAGCTCTGTAAGGATTTTCTGATGTTTGTGGCAACATGTTTGATATTTCTAAATAATTCACAGTGACGACATAAGCTGGGGCCCGAAACGGGCGCGAGTGCGAGGTCCCGCCAAACGCTGCTTGCAGCTTTAATTATTATTATTATTATTATTATTATTATTATTATTATTATTATTCCTCCAAATGAATTGCCTTTTTGGGAGGCTTAACATACCCGAAAACTCATGAAACTTTGCACACATCTCAGAACTGGGGAAAAATTTGATATTTTAAGGGTCTCGTGCGCGGGTTCCAAAAAATGGCTCAGGAGCGCCCCCTACAAAAGTTTGAGGAAACAGCTCCTGAAGCTAGTTTAACCTACATGTATGAAACTTGGCAGGTTTATGTAACCCTCCGAGATGTACAAAAAAGCCTCTTGGAGGCATGCTCTAAACCAAACAGGAAGTCAGCCATTTTGAATTTACTGTGCAATTTTGTTGCATTTTTGGCCATTTCCAGGGGTCATAAATGAACGAACTAGTCCTAGAGATTTCATCCGATTGACTTCAAACCTTGGTCTGTCCCACCCCAAGACCTTGAAGATAAAAAGTTATCAAAAGCTTGAGTTTTCATTAATGCGTGTGACCGTGGGATGGCGTCAAAGTTAAGGGTCTCGCCACTAAACAGGAAGTAGTTTATAACTCCAGCATACATGGTCCAATCTTGCCCAAACTTCACAGGATTGATGTCAGTCCCGTCCTGAACACATCTACATGTCATTAATTAGAGATAAATATAGCGCCCCCTACTGGCAACAGGAAATGTCATGTTTTAGACTTTAATATACATCTCCTGCAGAATTGACCAGATCCATCTCAAACTTGGTCAAAAAGTCATAAGATGTTGATGGCGCTTCATTGTGAAAACTGAGAGTTTTCGTCGAAGGGCGTGGCCATGGCCTGGTGGTGAACTTTGATGTTTCGCCATGATGACAAACGTTGCTGTAACTTGACTCCTCGTGGGAATATCTTGCCAAAACTTCACACATATGATGACAGTCAAGCCCTGAACACATATACAGAGGAATTTTGAATCACTACCATAGCACCACCTATTGGCAACAGAAAGTTACTTTATACATTCTTTGACGTCCCTCTTCTAGCAGGTTAATCAGACCCACCTCAAACTTGCTGGTCTAAGTCCTTAGACCTTGATGATTCTTTAAAATGAAGCTTTTTAGTTTTCATCAAACGCTGTCACTTTGGTTCCTCCTTGTTTGCCATTAAACATGATGTTGTTTTGAAGGGACAAGGGATGCTTGAAAACTCACCAAACATGGCATACACATCACAGGTCGCAAGTCCTGTTGTCTAATGTGATTTTTGTGCTTTGATGTACCAAGATGGCTCAACAACGCCCCCTAGAATATTTCAATTAAGCAGCCCCCAAAGCTGGTTTGGTAGGCACCTGTAACACTCTATCATGTACAAAAAAGCCTCTTGGAGCCATGCTCCAAACCCAAGGGGAAGTCCGCCATTTTGAATTTACTGTGCAATTTTGGTGCGTTTTTGCCCATTTCCAGGGCTTGTAAATTAACAAACTTGTCCTACAGATTTAATCAGATTGGCTCCAGACTTGGTGTATGTAAGCGTGGCTACATTGTGACCAAAACTTATCACAGGATTTGCCCAATGTTGAATGGTGCACCCGCTGCCGAGCATTGAATCTTGAGGTCTCGCCATGAAAAACGAAAGTGCTATAACTTTTGTGTAAATGGTCCGATGTCCACCAAACTTCACATGATTCATATTAGTCCTGCCCTGAACACATTTACATAACCATATTTCTTGATACTGATAGTGCCACCTAGTGGTGACAGGAAATAGGTCTCATCAAACACTTATCTTTTGATTTATCTGAAAGTTACATGCTGTGGTGTTTATGTATAAAAACATGGTGTATAATTAGTGCGCTCTCCAACTCACTCTAGTGGAAAGAGAAAGTGATACA